AAGAGCGATTTTCAAATGATTGTATGGAAAATGTTTGTAGGAGTGGAAATGAGGTTGAGTTGTGAACAAATCATTGATTTTAACCCTTGGATTGAATTTTGGAAGAAAAAGGGTTTTGCCCTAAATGTTTCAAATCTTTATTTTGTATAAATAAATGGAATTGATGATGAAAGTGTGAAATTGGATGGATATTAATATAGATGGTGGTGTTTGATATGTATTATCATTCACCTTGAAATTTGGAAAGTTTATCTATATTGGAGATTTTATATCTGTTTTGGGCTATCGGTGAAGAATAGCTATGATTGTTGTAAAAATTGCATGAGGATTAGGTGAATTGAAACTAATTTATCATCTTGGGACATTGAACATTGTTACTCATTTAATACATTTTAAATGTATATGATTTTGAGAAAAATGGGTGAATGTTGGAAAGAGGTGTGTATCACCAAATTAAGTTGGCTTGTGTGTCTAGAGTGAAAGTCCCCAAAAAAATGCATATACATGGGTGTCAATTCCCGTAGACGAAATATCCGTAAAATGACAATAGTGGTGCTTGTATAGACTACGTTTACATGGGTGCCGTTTGATGGTTTTCCGCAGATGAAATTTCCGTGAAAGGTTGTACCTATTTGAGAATTCCCCATTGTTTCTAATGGTAAAGGATATGATTTGAGAATTGTGATATAAATTGAGCATGACATGATTTTAAGAAAGAAATGTAAACCGTTTTGACATGAGCATTGCATATGCATTTTACCCTTATATCTTTGTTAAGATTCATATATTGTGTTGGATTATTTCTACTGGGTTTTGGCTCACCCTATATGGAAAAATCATTTTTAGGTGTTGGTGAGATGCCTCCACCAAGGACTTAGCTTGGGAGGACTGTAGAACTGAAGGCTCAGTTTTGTTATTTTGTATTTAATAATTGTATAAGCCTAAGGCTTTATATGTATTGAGCTTAAGACTCACTTTTGATGTAAATAAGTGTTGTCTTGAAAAGTTGTAGCCTTAAGGGCATTTCCATTATCTGTTTAACTTCTACTTCTCATTTTTGTTATTGACACATGCTATAGATTCAGGGTTAGGACTTATGAATATATATTCACATGTGTCACCTCTTTTGTACAACTAAATTTCATGAAATTGCAGGATATCATACTCTGATTTATGTTGCTATTTAATTATCGTTATGTTTGATTTATTATAATTATTTCAGGGCGTTACACAATTTATATTTTGCATTTAGACATGTTATCCTTATCTTCTCCAAGAGACTAATTGGGTCTCTAATCTATTTATTTATTTATTTTTCTCTTTCATATATGCTATATTTCGAACAATCCTTTTAGATCTCTTTCATAACTACTGTTATCGCTAGATACTAGAGTATTAATGAATTGAGAAAAATTAAGTGCACATAAAGGGTATACAAAATAGGTCACAAACAAGACACAAATAGTGGGTTTCATCTCTGTGGGACTCATATATGGGACTCACCCTTTGTGTTGACCTATCATGTGCACCATTTATGTGTTTGTAGCAAAGCTCTAATGAATTTCTATCTCTAATAATCCTTTTAGATATTTTCCGTATCCACATATTCATAAATCCCATCCTATAATCTCCTACATCCGAAAATGCTACAATGTATTTGTACATTGTAAGAAAAGTTACGATTTTTGTGATAAAAATTATGAATTTTTTGTGATTAAAGTTACAATTTTTGTGACGAAAATTATGAGTGGTGAAATTATGATGTGCACTTAAAAGTTACGTACAACTAAAGTTATACTTTTTGTGATAAAAATTATACATTTTTTGAGAAACAAAATGTTATAATTTTTCCATTTAGTGAGCACCATGCGCCAATTTATATTTTGCATTTAGACATTTTATCCTTATCTTCTCCACGAGACTAGTTGGGTCTCTAATCTCTCTATTTTTTTTCCCCTCTTTTATCTATGCTATATTTTGAACAATACTTTTAGATTTTTTTCATAAATATTGTTATCTTTAGATACTAGAGTATTAATGAATTGAGAAAAATTAAGTGCACAGAAAGGGGATACAAAATAAGTCACAAACAAGCCACAAATGGAGGGTTCCACCTGTGTGGGACTCACCCTTTGTGTTTTGTCTATGTCTCATCTGTGCACCATTTATGTGTTTGTAAAGCTCTAATGAATTTCTATCTTTAATCATCCTTTTAGATATTTTCCATATCCACAGTTATCTTCACAGATTTTCATAAATCCAATCTTATAATCTCCTACATCCAAAAATGCTACAATGTATTTGTACATTGTAAGAAAAGTTACGATTTTTGTGATAAAAATTATGAATTTTATGTAATGAAAGTTACGATTTTTGTGACGAAAATTATGAGTGGTTAAATTATGAAGTGCACTTCAAAGTTACATATAACTAAAGTTATACTTTTTGTGATAAAAATATGCATTTTGTGAGAAACAAAATGTCATAATTTTTCCATTTGGTGAGCATCATGTGCCAATTTATATTTTGCATTTAGACATTTTATCCTTATCTTCTCCAAGAGACTAATTGGGTCTCTAATGTCTTTATTTTTTATTTTTCTCTTTCATATATGCTATATTTCAAACAATTCTTTTAGATCTTTTTCATAACTATTGTTATCTCTAGATACTAGAGTATTAATGAATTGAGAAAAATTAAGTGCACAGAAAGGGAATGCAAAATAGGTCACAAACAAGACACAAATCGTGGGTTCTACTTGTGTGGGACTCACCTTTTGTGTTTTGTCATCTTGTGCACCATTTATGTGTTTGTAGCAAAGCTCTACTGAATTTCTATCTCTAGTAATCTTTTTAGATATTTTACATATCCACAGTTATCTTCACAGATATTCATAAATCCCATCATATAATCTCTTACATCTGAAAATGCTACAGTGTATTTGTACATGGTAAGAAAAGTTACAATTTTCGTGATAAAAATTATGAATTTTTTGGGATGAAAGTTACGATTTTTGTAACCAAAATTATGAGTGGTGAAATTATGTTGTACACTTAAAAGTTACGTACAACTAAAGTTATACTTTTTGTTATAAAAATTATACATTTTGTGAGAAACAAAATGTTATAATTTTTCCATTTGGTTTAGTTTTAAAATTATAATTTGAGTGTGGAATTGTGTTTTGAAAGATAAGTTTTTGAAAAAAGAAAAATTTTTTGGTTATAAGTTTTGAATTGTATTTTGAAATTGTTTTGGGTTTATTTTTTAAAATATTTAAAAATGTTCTTAATTTTATTTTTTTTAGAGTAAATATTTTTTATTGTAAATATTTGTTTCTTTTTTTAATGTGTGTTGTATTTGCTACATTTGTGCTTTGTATTTTTTAAAAAATATTTTCAATATTTAAAAATTTTAAAAAATTATTTTTTATTTTAAATATATAATTTTTGAGTTTTGAAAAAAGTTTTTGAAAAGAGTTTTGAATTGAGTGTTTGGTTATGAGTTTTGATTTTTTTTTTATTAGAATCAAGATTCCAAAATTAAACCAAACGCTACCTAAGTTTTTTGAATGGACTAAACTTTCCTTCCATCTATAATCTGGATTGGAGGGTGTTGTTTGGGTCCGTGAGGTTCATTATGTGGCTCGTTTCGATGATATAAGTCGTTCATTTTGTAACATCTTTTGTGTATATCATTTGTACAAAAAATTTAAAATCAATTCAATAATCGTAATCTATTCAATTTATATTTATTGAGTTTGTTATAAAAAAAATGGATGATCTATTTTAAAAAATGCATTTGTGGTTAATTTGTTTAGATACAAATGCAATAAATTGAATAGACTATAATTATCGGATCGACCTAATTTTTCTTATGAATGATGTACACGAAAACTTCTATAAAATGAATGATTTTGATCATCTCAGGATCCATAGTGAATCTCACAAGCCCAGATAGTAGGGGTGGGCATACAACGGGTTGGGCTGGGTTCGGGTTAGATCGACACTATATAATAAGGGACTTTGTGTCTACCCAAGCCTGACCCAACCCTAACATCGAGCCTCTAGATCTGCCTAGACAATAATTATAAATTTCAAGTCCACTCATCAAACTATATATATATATATATATATATGTATAAAAATTAAACATTTCATAACTAAATTCAATCACACATTATATTTCTTGAATAAATATATTGACATCATTATAAATTGAAAGATTTTGTATATAAATTGAGGGATTTCTTAAATAAATTCAATCACACTTCACCACGTATGTGAGTTTTAATAAAATCAACAAAGATAAAGTCTACATCGTAACAAAAAATATATATATTAATGTGTTATAATTAATTAATTAATTTAATAGCGAGTCAGGTAGGGCTGAAAGTATAAATACCAAGCCCAGCCCCCTATTAATATATCGGGCAGAAAATGTTAGCCCAGTCCAACTCTGTAAGTTAAAACAATCTTCCCAAGTTCTAAAAAAATAAGACTGAACTGGGCAAGCTGGGCAAGTCAATGTGCCCACCCCTACCAGATAATACTCTCTAATTGGGGAACCCCCACCACCCTCAATGCATTGTGATTTGTCAACTTTTTTTTCCCCTTCTATCTTTGGCTGACATGTGTCTGTGAGGGTTGTGAGGGTAATAATAAAAAAAAAAGATCAGTATCATTTCTGTTCTAAAAAAGTCAAAAAGCTTAGTTAAAAGCTAGAAGCTAAAAGCTAGCTTTTAACCATCTTCCCAAAACATCCCATAGACTTATTCAAATAAATGTGGCTCACATTCATAAACACATGTAGAATCCACTCACTTAAGTTTTAGGGTAAAAAGAGATGGGAAAAAAAGAGAGTAAGAAATATGATTATATATAATATTTTTCAAAAAATAAATATATCTTTTACATTTATTTTGAAGATGCTATTAATTCTCTAGAAAATGCCTATATAATCTTCAAACCTATCCTCCATTTGAAGCTCGCTTCTCATTAGTCATGGACAAAAGCAAGGTCTTGTTCACTTGTCTTTTTCTTCTTGAGATAACCTTCTCTTATGGAGTTAGGTCAACTGAAGGAACACAGTTGAATGTAGAAATGCAAACCAAAACACCATATCAGAGTCTTTGTGTTGGTGGGCTTGTTAGTGCAAAAGCTTTTCGACCCACTCCGACAGGAAATAGCCTTAATGCTGGTCATTCTGCTCCACCTCCTTATCAAGATGCTGGCAAGTTTGCTGATACCAAAGCTTTTCGACCCACTACACCAGGTAATAGCCTTGGCGTTGGTCATTCTACTCCACCCCCCAATAAAGGAGCTGGCAGGCTTGCTAGTGAGCAAGCTTTTCAGCCCACTACACCAAGTAATAGCCCTGGTGTCGGTCATTTTGCTCCACCTCCTTATCAAGATGCTGGCGAGTTTGCTAATACCAAAGCTTTTCGATCCACTACACCAGGTAATAGCCCTGGCGTCGGTCATTCTGCTCCACCCCCTAATAAGGGAGCTGGCAGGCTTGCTGGTGAGAAAGCTTTCCAACCCACTACACGAGGTAATAGCTCTGGCGTCGGTCATTCTGCTCCACCCTCCAATAAGAGAGTTGGCAGACTTTCTGATGAGAAAGCTTTTCGACCCACTACACCAGGTAATAGCCCAGGCGTCGGTCATTCTAATCCACCCCCCAGTAAGGGAGTTGGCAAGCTTGCTAGTGAGAAAGCTTTTCGACCCACTACACCAGGTAATAGTCCTGGCGTCGGTCATTCTACTCCACCCCCCAATCAGGGAGCTAACAAGTTTGCTGGTACAAAAACGTTTTGACCCACTCCACTAGGTAATAGCCCTGGCGTCGGACATTCTGCTCAACCTCCTGATCAAGGATTTTCAATTTTACTTTAAATGTTTGTTTCAAGTTTTACAATGAATAAATACTCTTTGCTATGAATTGTGTTTCAATAATAGCATGAATAAAGCTCTCAATGTAATTCTCAATTAGAATTAAATAAATAGCTAAGAGGGGAGGGGAAATTTTAGTAAATCTCTCCTTTAATTATGACTCTTGCAAATTGTCTTCATAATGTTTAAAACTTAATGCTTAACTCGCTTCAAATCTAAGAATTGTAAATGGCATTGACACTGTTAATAGGAAATGTTTGTTTACTTTTTAATGAAATAAACATTTTTTTTTTTTGAACGAGAAATAAACATTTCTTGTTAATGGTGTAGGCACACTCCAACTACTCTAGATTACAATCAATTCTAAATTTTCAATTACATATTGTAATTCCTAGTATCTTAATTTATTTATTTTTCTTAATCTTTAATTATATTTTAATTTAATTTAATTTAATTTAATTTTAATAACATTTTAATATAATTTTAAGTTCAGAGAACATGGAGATAAAATTGTGTCTTTTTTTGTCGTTGTTAGTTTCACTTTATTTTTTCAAAAACCAGACCTATTCTAAAAAAAATAGTGTTTGTGAGTTTGGATGGAAAAAATTAACAGTGTCAATTCAAACCAAAATAAGGGAAAAAGCTACCATATGCACCAATTTTTGAGTGCATATAGTATGCACTTTGTATAAAAATCATAAATTTTATCACAATAGGGTCCGTTTGATTTAGTTTTAGAATAATGATTTGAGTGTGAAATTGTATTTTGAGTTTTGAGCTTTTGAATTATGATTTAAAAGGATAAAATTTGTTTAGTTATAAGTTTTGAAAATAGTTTTGGGATGATTTTATTTTATTTTATTTTTTTCTGATTGATTGATGTATAGAATGTGATAGGAGAAAGGAGCGAGGGGAGAGGAGCGAGGAGAGAGAAAAACTGATTGGTTGATTAATTAATAATAATAATAATAAGAGAAGAGAGAAGTTTTGAAAATAATTTTAAGTTGTATTTTTAAAAATGTTTGGTTAACATGTTTAATCCAAATCATGATTTGAAAAGTAAACCAAATGCTATGTATAGCTTTTGTCAAAGAAAATATTTGGTTTAATTTTGAAATCATGATCCCAATTAAAAAATTCGAGTCCGTTTGGTTTAGTTTTAGAATAATAATTTGAGCATGGAATTGTGTTTTGAGTTTTGAGTTTTTGACTCATGATTTGAAAAAAAAAAATTTGTTTGGTTATAAGTTTTGAAAATAATTTGGGGATGAATTGTAATTTTTTTTGATTGATTGATGTATAAAATGTGAGAGAAGAGAGGAGAGATGAGAATAAAAAAGTGATTGATTGATTGATTAATAATAACAATAATAATAATAATAATAATAATAATAATAATAATAAAGAGAAGAGAGAAGTTTTGAAAATAATTTTAAGTTGTATTTCAAAAATATGTTTGGTTAACATGTTTCATCCAAATCATAATTTAAAAACAAAATCATGTGTTGAAAAGTAAATCAAACGCTACCCAAAACTCTTTTCAAAACTCATAATCAATCACTCAATTCAAAATTTTTTGCAAAACTCAAAACTCTTTTCAAAACTCTATTTTTTTTAAAAAAAAAATTCACGAAAAATATTATTTTATTTTGTTCTTTACAATTATTTTTTATTTTTTATTATTTTGAGAAAATATTTTTTTTTATTTTTCCAGAAAAATATTTTTTTTCTTATTTTTTTGAAAAAATATTTTGTTATTTTTTTAAGTATTGGCCAAATAATTTGTTATGATTTAAATATATATGGGAGATTCAGAATTTTTTAAAATTTAATTTTTTTCTAAAACTAATAAATAATTAAAAAATATTTAAAATGTTTAAAAAATAAAATAAAATATTTAAAATATAAAAATAAAAATAAAAATTATATATTTAAAATAATTTTTTTTAAATATTTAAAAAAATACAACACACAAATGTAATAAATGCAACACATTAAAAAAAACATATGTACAATAAAAAATATTTACCCTAAAAAAATAAAATTAAGAAAATTTTTAAATATTTAAAAAAATAAACCAAAACAATTTTAAAATACAATTCAAAACTCTTTTTAATACTTATAACCAAACAAATTTTCTCTTTTCAAAACTCATTTAAAAACGTTTGGGTTAATTACACAAAAAATCACAGGGTTTCGCACCTTTTTTCATTTTGAACCCAAGATTTTCAATTTCAAGAAATTAAACCCCATCCTCCACCCGTGTTTCAATCTGGCCACCTGTCCATCTCCGTCATATTGAACTAATGAAAATTTGGGTAAAATTTCAGATTCAAACTCATATGTTCAAGCCTTTATATCTCCCTCATTGTAACTTCATTTTGCCTCATTTTAGCACCATTGGATTCACTCCATTGCTTGATTTTCATTCCACCCCTCATATACTTTATTTCACCTCTTTTTGCATACCGTCAGAGCTCCAAAGTTGGCCGAAAATAAGATTTTTCTCTCTTTGGGCAAAATTTTCAGATTCAAGCATACATGTTCAACCAGTTGAATCTCCCTCGTCGTAACTCCGTTTTACCTCATTTTTACATCATTGGATTCATCTCATGGCCTAATTTTTATTTCACCCCTCATATGCCTTGTTCCATCTCTTTTTGTATGCTATTAGAGCTCCAAAATTTAGCAAAAAATAAGATTTCTCTCTCTCTCTCACACTTTTTTTTTCTCTTTATCTTCTATCTCCATGCTTCTTCCTTCCTCATTCATTTCTACAATTATGCTCTCTTTTCTCTTTCTTTCATGGCCCCTCCCCCACCCTTATGTTTCTTCCACTTTTTTGGAGTCATATACCTCCAATACTTGACAACACCGCTACCGTTAGAGGTTCGATGGCTACCATAAGCTCGGTAGAAGGGCCATGAAGGAAGAAGAAAAGAGAGAATAATTGTGGAAAAGAAGGAGGACAGAGGAATGAAGAAGCATGGAGATAAAAGATAGAAGAAAGGAAATAAAAAAAAAAAAAAGAGAAAAATCTTATTTTGGCTAATTTTTGAAGTTCTGACGGCACGCAAAAAAAGGTGAAACGAGACTTATGTGGGATTGAATGAAAACTAGGCTATGAGATGAACCCAATGACGCAACAATGAGGTATAACGGAGTTACGACGAGGGAGATACAAGTGCTTGAACATGTGGGTTTGAATATGAAAATTTTGCCCAAAAAGAGAAAAATCTTATTTTTAGCCAAATTTTGAAGCTTCGACAACACACAAAAAGAGGTGAAACAACGCGTATGATGGGTGGAATGAAAACAAGGCCATAAAATGAATCCAATGACGTGAAAATGTGGCGTAATAGAGTTACGACGAGGGAGATACAAGTGCTTGAACATGTGGGTTTGAATTTGAAAATTTTGTCTAAAGAGAGAAAAATCTTATTTTTGGCCAACTTTTGAAACTCCTATAGCATGCAAAAAAAGGTTGAACAAGGCATATGAGAGGTGAAATGAAAAAATAGGCCATGGGGTGAATCTAACAACGTGAAAATGAGTTGAAATGAAATTATGACGAGAGAGATATAAGTATTTGAACATATGAGTTTGAATTTGAAATTTTGTCAAAATTTCTGTTAGTTCAATATGCCGTAGATGAACGAAAGATCAAATTAAGACACGAATGGAAGACAGAGTTCAATTTGTCCAAATTAAAAATCTAAAATTTAAAATAAAAAAACAGGCAAAATGCAAGATGTTTTTTTGTATAATTAATCGAAAAATTTATATTTCAAAACACAAATCACAGTCAAATCTATCATTCTAAAACTATGCTACACTATACTACGCCCTGGTTTGGCAAATTATTTGGGCTAAATAATCACAAAAAGATTAAAAAAAAAATATATCAAAAAAGTCAAAAAAACTAATAAAAAATTTATCATTCCGAAACTAAAAAACCAAAAAAAGTCATTGCAAAGGACCCTACACGGAGCCCTGGTTTCTGTGTGTCATACTAGGCGGCCTTGCAATTGCGCATCACAAACTAAGCCAGAGTCCTCGAGTCCAACTATAGCACAAAATGGTGGTATTCATGTACCATACATAAATTAATATTAGCCCTTAGATCTTTATTTTTGATCTGGGCTATCCACCTAAAGTTCTGTTAACCGGTTATAATCGGTAACAACAAAACCCATAGCCTTCCTCTTTTCTTCTCTCTTCTGGTATCTTCTCTTCCCTCTGTGTATTTCATGGTGGATGGAAAACTCTTGCTCTTCTATTATTCTTTTCTCTCTCCTTTGTTTTTTATTTTTTTAAAGTTCGATAGATGGAATTCCATGAATTTCGGCACCGCAATAGGAGGCCATCTTCAAATGCACTCCCACATGACCAACATGGTAGGGCGGTGGGCCTGGCTTTTTGTTCCCATCATCATCATCCTTGTATGGTTTTTGAATTTCAATCCCAACTGTTGAGTTGAGATGGGTCAATCTTAAATATGATGATGTTTTATGTGAGTATAATAAATAGATAATTAGCAAATTCAGAAATATCATTCAGGATATTTTATTGAAAAACTTAATTAAAATTAAAATTAATGTTAGTGATTCACATTTGAGACTTCTAAATACATCTTTAATGACATAATAAAAAAGTATAATCTTACATAATTAAGTATATGAATTACCATTTCACATCATCATAGGTGAAATTGTGGAGATTTTATTAAAAATCTCAAACATTTTTCTTAAATTATGCGCCAAAAAAAAAATCACACTTATCAATATAATCCACCTTCCACAAATCTTTTAATTTGAATTTTTTCTATAATAAACGAAAAAATAATTTTAATATATTGTTAATACTATTTAAAATATATATATATAACAAATATATAAAGTTCCAAAATTACTCTCAACAAATTA